TGACAAGGCCCGCTTAGAGGTACAGTGGCGGCTATGTACGGTTTAAGAGAGGGTCGGGACAAGCCAGTATTTCTCTCTTAAATCCGGTCTTCTCTTAAGACCGCACTGCTGTGAAATGTATGAATTTCTCATGGTCGTGACAAGCCATTTTGAGTCTCTCTTACCGTAGCCGCCACTGTACGTAGGTGTAGGTGTGGGTGGATGCCCACCACATACCCGGCGGTTTGTACTGCTGTCCGCGTCGCCTCTTCGCGTACCCAGACAAGGCCCGTTTACACTCTCGCTGTCGCTGCCCTAGCTGTCGTCGTTGGGGGCGTACGCTGTCTGTATTGTTGTTGTACAGAACATGGTGAACCCCTTGCTGTCAATATGCCAGCATTGCTGTCCGCATCGTTGCACGGACCGGTGTCAACCCCTGCTATGTATCATCTTTGGTGCTCTTCAATACTGTATCGTTGCACAGACCATGGTGAACGCCTTATTGTCACCGTTGCCCTTGCTGTCCGCATCGCTCCACGGAACGGTGTCAACCCCTGCTATGTATCACCGTTGGTGCTTGTCAATACTGCTGTATCGTTGCACAGACCATGGCCAACCCTTGCTGTCACCGTTGCCCTTGCTGTCCCTATTGTTGCACAGAACGACACCAACCCTTGCTATCATCGTTGGTGCTTATCAGTACTGTATCGTTGCACAGAACATTGTCTTCCCCTGCTATCACCGTAGGTGCTCATCAGTACTGTATCGTTGCACAGAACGATGTCAACCCTTGTTATATGTCGTTGGTGCTTGTCAGTGCTGTTGCACAGAACATGGTAAACCCTTGCCGACATTGTTGCCCTTGCTGTCGGTCCGTATTTGTTGCCCAGAACATGGTGAACCGCGACAAGAGCCTTCCGTTCCAGCGGCGCCAAAGCAACCTCCAGGAGGTGTACAAGTGCGTCCGCTTCTGCATCAACGAGGTCAGGCCATCGTCACAAGGATGAACAAGCATTTAACGGTTGTTACATTCTGTTGGTGGTGCTGCGGGTGTTGGTGTCAATAGAACGAGAGGTGTCCGAGAGGTGTCCAGCACTCACTATTTCTTGGGTCTTCGCAGCGGCTCGGTTGGAGCAATCGTAACATTTCGTCCCTCTTGTGGCAGTTGTCATCACAGCGAACCACGATGCCCTCTTCGGCATATTCGAAGTGAACTCTGTTAACCTCCCCCCCTGTGTTGCTGCTCGTTTGGCCAGCACCCACCAAAGGAAAACAACACCACACATGCGCGCGCGTGCGTGCATGGATTGCGGCCGTATGGACACGATACGCCACTGAAATGACGCAGTTAGTGGAGGCATGAGCAGCCGGCTTGACCATGCGAGTCACCCACCGCTGGAGTACGGATTGGCGTGTGTTTCGTTCCCGAGCAATCAATCAAAATTCATCTTTCAATACCACCTCCACCACGATCCCCCAGGTGGAGTGCCGCCGCGTGCTTATCCTGGAGTTCTTCGGCGAGCACTTCCCACGGGGGCGTTGCAAGGCCACCTGCGACAACTGCATCGCCATGCAGGGCTGCGAGAAGGAGACCAAGGACTGCACGGAACAGGCGAGGGAGGGACGCGATCTTTGATTGGTGTCAATCGGTGGATGTATGCCAGTCTCGTGTGTGTGTTGTTGTATTCCTTGAGGGAGAGTGGCGGTGGGTGGTCTGGGATTGCACCGAGCAGGAGAGGGAGACAGGGTTTTGATTGGTTCAATCCATAGATGTACACGTGACAGTCTCGTTGTGAGTGTGTCGTCATGTTCCTTTACGGTGACCATCTACAGAACAAACAAAAATCCCTGGGTTAGGTACGGCAAAGATATGCATACCGAGAGGCTTACAGTGGCGTCAAAATAGATGAGACAACAACGCAAAACACGCACACACAAGTTTCTGTCTCTACCCGGAGAGTAGCTTAGCCTCCCCATGACGCCCCCTCACGGCGTCCCAGATCATGGCAGCCTTTAGAAGCGTTTTCTGTTTTCAGCCGCACTGAGACTGACGTATTTTCATTGGTCAGCCGGTTCATGCTAATAGTAAAGACATACAACACAAACATACGCTTGGCGCCGTTTCTTTTCGCTGGATCTACCGTGTTGCATTCACCAGTCACTATGTGACTTGTTCATTTACGGTTATTGTGCTCATTTCTTCTTGTTTTTTCTTGTTGTCCTGGATTATTGGATACCTTGGTGTCACTCGCTCGTCGGCATCCCTCGTCCACCATTTTTTTTTGCGTTTTTTTACCAATTCAATCACACTGGACGTGTTTTTCTTCTGTCCCCGAATTAATCCTCCACCAGGCCGGGCGGCTGTTGAGGCTCTCAGAGGTGATGGTGGAGCGCGAGATTCGACATACGCTCGTTCAGCTGGTGTCCGTGTGGCGAGGGGACTCTGTCAAGACTCTGGATCAGTGAGTCTTGTGGTCCGATTCACACACGAGCCTGCGTGAGCTTAGACCGCACGAAGCAAGGCTAGCCAGCCGGGCATCCAGCTTCGATGCCCTAATGACACTCATCCTTCATCCTTCACACAGAGGCCAAGCGCGCGGTACACCTCTGCGTGAACATCGACCTCACGCGCAAGTCTAGCTAGCCAGCCAGCCAGAGGTTTTGATGCCGTCGATTTTGCACTCATCCATCTCATGCGCCAGTGCGCGATACTCCATCACTTGTTTGACGAGTTGACACGACGATGGGACGGCAGCATCGTCTGTCATGCAACCGGGTGGCGCGCGCGCCGCGAAGAGGCGTTGTCCCTAGATTGGCCAAGGGGTGCCATATGTGAGCACGGGCAAGGGAGCAACGTGTTTGTTGGGGGACGCCGTTCATTGTTCCGCCTGTGCTCGACCACCGGAGGCGGGGAGGGGGGGGGGGGGGGGGCTCATCCTCGTCATCCTCGAACCTGGCGCCCCCGCTGCGGGGATGGCTGAG